TATCACCTACATAGTATATGTATGTAGTATCACATAGCTATCGATTGAAACACTCCTCCAGGGATGTGCCTTGAAGGTGGGGATTATTATTATTATTATTATTATTATTATTATTATTATTATTATTATTATTATAATCAAAAGAAAACAGAAAGAATGAAGGCTGGGAGAAACTTGATCCTTGAAACAGGATTTATCCCACCTTTCCTTGTATTGAATCAGATTGCCTAGCGTTCCTCAGGCGCTATATAAACTATAAGTTTAGCGCTTCCCCTAATTTAAAAAGAATATCGGTTAAAAGAGTGTTTTCATTATGAAAGTCTACTGTTGATAGGTTGCTCTGGACTTGACCGTTATAGTTCTTGTTTAAGGACAAGTCTGTATAGCCCTTGTGGCTTAGCGCTTCTTTTTGATTATAATAATAATTAAGGACAAGTATCATGGTTATTAGAGTGCAGTAGAGCGCTCTCGACTTTATTTGTATTCAGTGATGTGAGCTGAGATGACATCCAGAGGTTAACGCTCTCGCTTCACACGGTGAGGGCCTGGGTTAGATTCCCAGCCAGAGTAGAAACATTGGACGTGTTTCTTTCCACCTGTTGTCTATGTTCCCCATCAGTAAAATGGGTACCTGGGTGTTAGTCGACTGGTGTGGGTCGCATCCTGGGACACTGACCTAAGGAGGCCTGGTCACAGACCGGGCCGCGGGGGCGTTGACCCCCGGAACTCTCTCCAGGTAAACTCCAGGTAAACCTGTATGATCACTAACATCTTACCCATGGATGAAGAGTTTTATCAGTTCTTTATATTATGTACTTAGGTTTAATGGTCTTTTATATTTGAATAATATTTGTGAAGCAGGTGGAAACTGTTATCAAATTACGAGACTTGTTAGCGTCGCCGTGGGAAAATAACATCACTTAAGGGAGCAGCCCAGCTGTTCTGACCAGTACACGTTATGGTGGCCGCTTCCCACCACTCATGCATATTTAAGGAAATATTTAAGGAAAATAAAAAAGCTATGTATTAAAATGTCTGTAAATTTAACAAAGTGAAGGTTATCGTTAACTTGGATCCTTCACGACACTCGAGTACCAACGGTTGCGGGTACTTGTATTTTTCTAGCATTTTTTTTTTCAGTCACTTATGGTTGATATATTTACCCAAAGCGGACTCCAGTGTCAACTTAACAGCCAAACGCAGGTTGCAAGATGTGTATGGTACATATATTTGACTGCCTTTACCACTTCCCTATTTTTATAATATACTTCAGTTGCTGCGCGACCCAAATAAGGTGTCTTTTTCATATCCCATAAACCCTGCAGTCCCTCTACCTCAATGCACGCAAAAGGAATAGTGTATGGTGATCATAAAATTCAAATTTAGCATAGTATAAAAATATGTATACTTTTGTATGAGCAAATATGTCGTTGTTTTTGCATATGTATGTGCTCACGGAGCTTGACTAGCGCAGGTCGATGCCAAGCATCAGGCTCCTTGTGATCGGCATTACTGGTTTGTGGTCTCTTGTACTTTAAAATATCTACTCTTGAAGCTATGTATTGAGTTTGATTTCACCACTGCCTCCTCCAAATCATTCAGGTATACACAGTTATATAGAACATCATACGTAGCAGCATGTGTAGGAACCTAGGATAACCCGAAAGTCAGGCAGTGACTTGTTTCCATTGGGATCCTTGTGATTATTTTTATTTATATTTAGAAGTTAAAATCAGGATAATATCTTAAACTATGTAAAAGCAGTTACAATAAAAGAAGATAAACAAGGGGAGATATATTAGTTATTTTCATACAAGAAATCGCTCTCCCTTTCTGTAGCCTTATTCATGAGGTACATTTTGGCTCTTTTTGAACTGGCTCATGCTATGACAGGCTTTGACATGTGCAGGCAGTCTATTTCCCTCGTATTGCAGTACATAAAAATGTTTTTGAAGCCTAACTACTTACTCAGGTACTGCAAAGTTGTTCTCCCTTCCCATAGTTCTGTAATTTGTAGCCTATCTTTTGTTAAGGCAGAGTACCATGAACAAGAGTAGTCTATAATACATTGTATGGGAGCTAGACATGGGGTCCTGCGAGCCTCAATAGGTGTACACGGCGCCTGTCTCTAGAGGAACTTTAGTCTGGCATTCTCTTTCTTGGAAATAAATGGTATAAAATACCGACACAATGGAAATAAAACATATGCAGTATAATGTGATCCTTTATTGACAACGTTTCACCCACACAGTGGGCTTTTTTCAAGTCACACAGATCTGTGTGTGACTTGAAAAAGCCCACTGTGTGGGTGAAACGTTGTCAATAAAGGATCACATTATACTGCATATGTGTTTATATTTCCATTCTCTTTCTTTACAGCATTGTTCCTTATTAGTTCTCCTGACATCCTTGAGTCGAAGGGGATTCCGAGATATTTCACCGAATTTACTGTTATAATAGGTTCCCTATTACACTGGATATTAAAATTATTTTCCCTTTCAATTTGTTTCGTGCCAAAGAGTATGGCTTCCGTTTTCTCGAGGTGTAGTGATAATTTGTTGTCTACCAACTATTTGCTACAGGAGTCTAGTTCTAGTGATAGTACATTAGCAATGTCTTGCGGGTCTTTACCTGATACTAACAGAGCTCTATCATCTGCGTACAGTAGAAGCCTGCATTTGACACTGATAGTTATGTCATTCACATAACAGAGGAATAGCAAAGAGCCCAGGGTTCTGATTCTGTCTTGATCTTCACAATTTGGTTTTTGTTGCTCAGGTAGGACTTAACCATTCTACAAAACTCGCCCCGATAGCTTGTAGTTTCTTGCATATATTGTGGTTAACCGTATCGAAGGCCTTTTGCAAGTCTAAGGTTACTGTTCCTATGAAATCCCCTAGTGACATTTCAGTTCTTAGGTAGTCCATCAAATTAATTTGGGAGGTGTCGGTTGAACGAGATCTCCTAAAACCTGACTGGTAACTATGGAGAATGTTTTTGCCATTAAGATACTTAACTACTCGACAGTATACCGTCTTCTCTAGAATTTTGGACATCACATCGAATAGACTAACAGGCCTATGGTTGCTGACATCAGATCTTCTATTTTTCTTGAAAATAGGAGTAACTCTGAATCCTTCCGGGACAGTATTTGTGACTGTGGACAAATTTATTATGTGCACAATAGGAATTGATTGATAAGAGGCTCCATCTTTTAGGAACTTGGGCGGGATGTTATCGGGACCGGTGCTCTTAATTGGGTTTAATTTACTTAGTTCTTTATGTACGAAGTTATGAGGTAAACCTACTAGTTGGCAACCGTGACGACCTTATTAATGTAATATGTTTTTAAGTTATCAGTCTGTGTTAAAAGTATTTGATGCAACTGGCAGCGTACTTTCCAGTGTTGATGCGACAGAAGTAGTATGAATCAAAACAATTTGCCACTTTAGTTTTCTCGTGGCATACCTTGGTATCAATGTTTAGCACTACGTTGATCTGTCTAGGGTTTTTGGCTATACCCAAACTGTTTTAGTTGTTGCCAGAGCTCTTCGGGGTAATTCTTGTACTTTTCGATTTTGAGCAATAGTGCTTTGCCTTTGTTCCTTTTATGAGTCTCTGTACTCTGTTCCTACCTCTCTGGAATTCATTGAGAGCTGCAATATCCTGCCTGTTTCTCTTAAAACTTTTTAACAACTGGTTCCTGAATTTCATATCTAATATTTCAGTAGTCATCCAGGGTTCAGTTCTTCGTTTCATCCTAACCTCTTGAACTGGTGTAATATTATCAAGGATGGCAGTGAACATTGTTTTGGAATTTTTCCCAGGCATCATTTACCTCCGTGCAACTTGTAATCACTGTCCAATCACAATTTTGTAGCCTATTTATCAGTATTTCTTTGCTGTAGTTTGTAGCCTATTTACCAGTATTTCTTTGCTGTAGTTTTAGTTTACCTATTTTTTAAAAGTCCTGTGTAGCCCCGTCCCATCCCTAAAGATTTCCTGGTACGTAAAGAGAGATGTCACTAAGACCTTGTAATTGGGGCCTAACTGGTAAAATTGGCAGAAAACGATTACAAAGTAGTGGGCTAATATGTTGGCTGAGAATGTGTGAAACCGGGTTGGTGCATTTAAATTAAAAGTTGAGTGTAATAATAATCCTAGAAAATCCTTACCTTTAAATAGCCCTTTTTTACTCTGGAAACAGATATTGAAATTCCCATATCACTGTTCAGAAAGCTAAATTCCGGGCAAGACTCGAAAAATCCTCTGGGAAATTGATCATGGATGGGGGGGGGGGTAAAAAGTTCTACTAGGATTGCTTTAGTCTTGGGTAACACCTCAAGCCATAGGATCTCCAGTTTATCATCATTCAAATCAGGTCTTGTGTTGTAGGCTATGTCATTTCTTACATACGCACATGCTCCACCCCAATTTTTTTTTTCCCTTTTAAGCGTTTAACCTTCTATTTTGACCCCGTCGTCAGACCTTTTCTGTAACCGGGATTTAGAGTTGGATATAACAACCGCCCTAGTTCTGTTAGCTAAAATCCTAATCTCTGACATCTTGGGTAAGAGTGGCCTCGCGTTGGCGTGAATAAAGCGAAGGCCTGTTTTCTAAAGTTATACTTCCTTACATCAGCTTCAACTTGTGCTTCATTAATTCTGATCCTCTAATTCATTCTGTCCCTAGCTACCTTATATATTCCTCTTAAGATTTTGTATGTAGTAATCTTGGCTTCCCTTGCTCTTTTCTCCAGGATCGTCTCCTCTTATAGGGCATCTCTGTGTTCTGGTATTAGCCTGGTTGAAAACCTTTGGATCTTTTCGAGGTCCTTCGTATACTTTATCAAGTATGCTGGACCCACATACTCAATGACTGGCTTAACATGTGTCGTAAATTAAGGTCTGAAGGATTCTTTACGTTCCTGAATACTATGCTGAGGTTTGCTAATCTTGAATGCCAATGATGTTACAGTTTGTTAATTTCTGGTGATATACTTTGTGTTATATTTACCCCAGATCCTTTTCACTTTCTGATATTTGCAGCTTCCCTCGGTCCGTGCTGTATTGTCACCTCCAATTCCCATTATCTTGCATTTATTCGGATTGAACTCGAGAAGCCACTTGTTTAACCATACTTTGAGATTCTGGCCTATAATTCCGGGCCTCCCGTCTGTCCCTCTGCACTTTCCAAATTTCCGGCAGCCGTTCTGATTGGAGAGATTGATTAAATGACATGACTATTGGGTCTGTTGTTTTGCTCCATCTCTCAGCACCAGGACTATGCCGAAATATCGGTATCGGCGGGTATTGGCTAATTTTGATCCTGGAGTTTACCTGGAGAGAGTTCCGGGGGTCAACGCCCCCGCGGCCCGGTCTGTGACCAGGTCTCCTGGTGGATCAGAGCCTGATCAACCAGGCTGTTGCTGCTGTCTGCACGCAAACCAACGTACGAGCCACAGCCCGGCTGGTCAGGAACCGACTTTAGGTGCTTGTACAGTGCCAGCTTGAAGACTGCCAGGGGTCTGTTGGTAATCCCCCTTATGTATGCTGGGAGGCAGTTGAACAGTCTCGGGCCCCTGACGCCTGGCTAATTTTGATGGTACCGGTACCTGCCTAAATTTGGTATCGTCCCATCCCTACTCAGCACCCATGTTGACATGTCTGGTTCCTTTGCTTTTGTTATATCCAGCTCTTGTGATACTCATCACTTTGTTTTATTGTTACTCTCCAGTACCTGTCTGTTGACCTCGTCTTACTACAGTGCCTGCTGGTGGTAGTTCTCTCTGTGAAGAATCAGATCTGAATATTTTGTATGTCACATCTGTCAGTTTCCATCAACATCCATTTCTCCTTCCTCAGTTTTATTAATTGGTCGTGTTTTTCCTTGTGTGGCTGTGAAGTACTTTGCTCCATTTTTGGCCTTCTGATGCTGTATAATTTTTAAAATATTTTTTTTTCAGGTAACCACCTTATTCTTGTGTATTAGTTTCTATTTTTTTTTCCTCAAGCTTTCTGCATCTTCCCTCTGCATTCTTGATTAAACCACGGGTTCTGTTTTCTATGCTTTGTCTTCATTCTTAATACGAATCTTTCTTTGGCTTCTTGGTACTGACTAATACCTCCATTATTTCTTGTACTTCTCCGCATTCGTTTCTATTGCCCTACCATTTCACTTTGAAAATTAATCACGCCATCGTAGTTTCTTCTGTAATTTTTACTTTGCTTCCTCCCTTTTTCTGTTTCCCTTTTCACTAGGTACTCTGAGATAAGTAACACATGAACACTGTCTCCTGTTGGTTCCTCATTAATTTCCGCTATGTATTATTCATTTTGAGACAATCAGATAGTTTTGCTTTCTCCTCTCCTCTCTTCTTTTGGTTTTCTTTACGTGTTGACTTGGAAGGTTCGTTATCGCTTCTGCGTTAACTTGTTCTCCATGTGTCTAGTCCTTCCTGGGGTTCCCAGTTAATTTCTTTGTTTTTGATATTTAGTACTAGGAGTTTAGCTTTTTCATTTTGTCCTCTCAGCAATGGTTTCAAGTATGTGAATCATTCCATTCTTATTTTTATACTCCTCCTTTGATCTTCTATTGCCGTTGGTGGATTATATGTAACTGCCACTTATTTTCATGTCTCCAGACATAACAGTACCTGCTGTATAGTCCCTGAAATACCATGTTTCTTAGTCCTTCAAATCTTAAATGGTTTCTGAACAATGCAACCCCCCCAACCACTCCTTTATTTGCTCCTTCCTTTATTATTATTTAGAAGCCCTCTGGGAATATTGTATTTACCTTAACTGGGAGTTTCATCTAAATAAAAGCCACTGTATTGGGTTTTCCTTTCCCAGCTCTTTTGTGTGTGTGACCCCATCTAGTTTTTAGTGCCACACTCTGATACCTTTGTCTCTTGCTGCATTTCTAGGGGTACTGGGCAGGGAGTCCCTGTGGCGTCTTGTGGTATTTCCTTTACTCTTTTTTTCCCCTCCCTCTGTTGTTCCACCCCTTCTGCAGTAGGTGGTCTGTTCTTTGTTCCGTTCCTCTGTTGCCTCTATTGCCAAGTTGTCTCCTCTATTTAGTCTTCTGTCCAATCTTCCTTTAATATATGCTGTGTTGAAGTTTCCGGATCCTCGGCTTTGGTTTCCATCTTACATTTCACTTTGTAAAAATAATGCTTAATGGCCTTGTGTTATGTATTTAAATCACGTATTTAAACTGGCACCTAAGGGGTCAAAGCATTGTCTAGAGGCATTTAAAATATTAAAGAAAATACACCACCCTGGGACCAGAAAGGTAAATTAACCGTAAGTGCTGAACAGTTAGACAATACTTTTCAGGAAGGACAGACAAACATTTACAAAAATATAATATGCAACACTATATACAACACAATACCATTACAAAAAAAAAAAATCACCTGTATACCTTTACCAGGTACTTACAGTTAGAACACATTAATATTCTTACAATATATTACCAAAACTCGGCTCACTGTTATTAGTTATTTAAAGTTAGGCCATATGAAAACAGTGGGTCTCCACGGGCCCATCGTTCTGTCGGTCTTTAGTCTGCAGGCCAAAATCAAAAACTATGTATTTCTGTACTCCAAATCTTAAACAGGCCCCCACATAAATACCCTAGCCTCTCATACCATAAGAGTACAACAAAATCACTAGCAAACATCCTGCGGCATAAACTACATTAAAACACCAAACACTTCTTAGCCAAATTCCATGACACTTTCCTACAACTGTTCCCTCATCACTGCCTTTACATCTCTGTCGCCTGTACTTTCAAACTGGCCGTGTCTAAAACACGTTCATTTGCCGTTCAATCCCCGTCCACTGACACTGTATTAAACATTTCTAAACTTTTTATATTTTACAACAATGCATTATCCTGCATAATACCTTGTCCTTCCCTTTATATTATATATATATATATATATATATATTATATATATATATATATATATATATATAATATATATATATATAATATATAATTATGTTCCTACACTAAAAAGCCAAATTTTCACTTTTCTTGATGCTTCCAATTTTCTTCTGTTAGATCTTAGGTTTTTTTTTTTTCTTTCATACATTTCTCAGGTTATCTTTGAAGATTGAGACAAATAAAGGTTCCCATATGTTGCATAAGTGTCTCAATCTTCAACTTGTCGGTTTTCAAAGCCATTCATCACAGGTTATTTTTCTTTGTGTAGGTCAAACATCCTTTTAAAGGGTTTCCCCCTCTCCTCCTACCTTTGTTACTTCTGTGTAGGCCCAAACAACCTTTAGGTTGCTCCTCATGACACTGTTTTTTTTGTTATTGTGTAGGCACAATGCAACCTGTAAGGTTGCTCTTCCCTTTGGTTACTCTGTGTAGCTCAAACAACCTTTAAGGTTGCTCTCTCTACCTTTGGTTACTCTGTGTAGGCCAAACAACCTTTAAGGTTGCTCTCTCTACCTTTGGTTACTCTTGAGGCAAACAACCTTTAAGTTGCTCTCTCTACTTTGGTTACTCTGTGTACAAACAACTTTTAAGGTTACTCTCATCTAACCTTGGTTCCTGATGTGAGGCCAAACAACTTAAGGTTGCTCTCTCTACCTTTGGTTACTCTGTGTAGGCCAAACAACCTTTAAGGTTGCTCTCTCTACCTTTGGTTACTCTGTGTAGGCCAAACAACCTTTAAGGTTGCTCTCTCTACCTTTGGTTACTCTGTGTAGGCCAAACAACCTTTAAGGTTGCTCTCTCTACCTTTGGTTACTCTGTCCCAGTCACCAGTTCCACTTTCTCCCTCCCGACCTTTTTCAACATATATTGCTTGGTCACCTATGCATTCTTTTATGTTTTTCCTATCTCTTTGAAAACCCTCATTTGATATATAGTCTTTCTGCTTTGTCTATGCATCCTTTTTATATTTAAGGTACTTTTCTCTTTTCCTTACATCCTCCTCCTCTGTTTTATGATCCTCAATTCCGTCTTTCTATGCTACATTTTTTATGAACCCGTCTTGTTCCTCATCCATGTCTGTGCCTCCACTAGCATCATCCATGTCTGTGCCTCCTCTAGCATCATCCATGTCTGTGCCTCCTCTAGCATCATCCATGTCTGTGCCTCCTCTAGCATCATCCATGTCTGTGCCTCCTCTAGCATCATCCATGTCTGTGTCTCTAGCATTATCCATGTCTGTGCCTCCTCTAGCATCATCCATGTCTGTGCCTCCTCTAGCATCATCCATGTCTGTGCCTCCTCTAGCATCATCCATGTCTGTGCCTCCTCTAGCATCATTCATGTCTGTGCCTCCTCTAGCATTATCCATGTCTGTGCCTCCTCTGGCATCATCCATGTCTGTGCCTCCTCTAGCATCATCCATGTCTGTGCCTCTAGCATCATCCGTGTCTGTGCCTCCTCTAGCATCATCCGTGCCTGTGCCTCCTCTGGTATCATCCGTGTCTGTGCCTCCTCTAGCATCATCCAGGTCTGTGCCTCCTCTAGCATCATCCATGTCTGTGCCTCCTCTAGCATCATCCATGTCTGTGCCTCCTCTAGCATCATCCATGTCTGTGCCTCCTCTAGCATCATCCATGTCTGTGCCTCCTCTAGCATCATCCGTGTCTGTGCCTCCTCTAGCATCATCCGTGTCTGTGCCTCCTCTGGCATCATCCGTGTCTGTGCCTCCTCTGGCATCATCCGTGTCTGTGCCTCCTCTGGCATCATCCATGTCTGTGCCTCCTCTAGCATCATCCATGTCTGTGCCTCTAGCATCATCCATGTCTGTGCCTCTAGCATCATCCGTGTCTGTGCCTCCTCTAGCATCATCCATGTCTGTGCCTCCTCTAGCATCATCCGTGTCTGTGCCTCCTCTAGCATCATCCGCTTCTGTGCCTCTAGCATCATCCGTGTCTGTGCCTCCTCTGGCATCATCCGTGTCTGTGCCTCCTCTGGCTTCATCCATGTCTGTGCCTCCTCTAGCATCATCCATGTCTGTGCCTCCTCTGGCATCATCCGTGTCTGTGCCTCCTCTGGCATCATCCGTGTCTGTGCCTCCTCTGGCATCATCCGTGTCTGTGCCTCCTCTGGCAT